GAATCAACAATATTCTTAGTTCATGGCACAATTACATTATATTCCATTCTATATATTCATAACAATGAACAATTTGCAGAGTTCGCTAGCCATTCCATTCTTTTTGTAATAAGGCCACCGTTCAGCCACGTATGAAATAAAAACTAAATTCAAAATGATCAACGTTCATTTGAATGTTGTTATAACAAAAAAAAATGCGACAAATGCAATCCCGTTGAAGTCGTATGTTTTTAAAAATCTTTTAAAAAAATATATGAAAATCTATAAGCGTTAATTCGTGTAAACAATGACTCAATACAATCAACGGAATCTCGTGAACCATTTGTAAATCATATTTGGCCGTATTATCATTGATGACACCGTATTAATGAGTTCTATGTATGACACGCTCGAGTTAAAATCTTTCTCTACAGACTTTCATTATTAAATACATTAATGTGACACGTTGTGTATATAGTACCATTTAATTAAGAACATCGTGATCGGTTAAATGAATAAAAGAATTTCTTCGTTCTCACATTGATCGGTGAAAAACATCTCTTTTCAAAATAAATCGGATCTTATCTGTACATATTGTATTTAAATCAACGTGCATGACTGTTATAAAATTCTTAAACATTAATTGTTTGTTTCCAATTGTTTCAGGATCTGTTCCGTGATCAATTTAGTAGCCTCGGTCGCATAAGGAATAAGAAATTTATCCATGTCCGAAATGACCGTATCATTGTACTGCGTTGTACCGTACTTAAACGTGATCAAATCCGAGTTTCGCTTTCTAGACGTTATCTTAACAATACTTGTCAACGGACGCTTGACAATTACATGCGCTGCGCCTTTTCGTTCTGGTATTTCCCGGAGTACAATAAGATGAGTGTCAGTAACCAAAAGTATACTGAAAACAAAAACACGTGTAAAACGTTAAAAGAAAATGTTAACTTCTTTTTCCTAGTTTCCTAGTTTTAAAACATTCACCTATCACAGAGATCTCTATTCACTTTCACTTCTTGGCATTTAAAGGAATGTAATAATTTTGGATCTTTCATCCATTGTTGAATGGACACCACTTCGACAGGTTCTTCGCTTTCATGGTTTGTCATTACCATATCTGTAATATATAATATTTTTTTCATACGAATATTTATCTAAGAACATCATAATTCACTACGCATTACGTGTAAAAAGTAACACCCACCTGATTCCTGGTCATCGTCTATGCTGAATACAGGAGCCGTCTTTTTTTGCCGCTTAGTATACTCTGGGTCTTTACCATTCCTATTTTCCATGTTATTATGAACACTTGCTGATGGATTAACAATATAATCGAACAACTTCCCTTTCACTTTCTTTATCTTCCCGAAGAAGTCAGAATTGTTATTCTTGACTTTGGCAGGACTTGTTTCGTTAGAATTCGTTTCGGATAAATTGGTGTTGCAAACTAAACAGTGCTGCGAATTGTGATCGACGAGACTAGAAACAACTTCATCACCAAAGTATTCGTGTATGGCTGAAATTAAATGGAATACGTTTGCAATGAATTCGTGGGGTCACCGATGTTAATCAAGTTTTTCTCACCTTGATATCCTGATGTAACCATGCTAACATACTGAGTGTGCTTCTGCAAAAAAGATGCGACTACCATGTGAGTGTAACGATCTTCTTCTTGCCTGCCACTTCCTAAGAAACAAAGGTGTTCACCACCTGCTTGCGATCCAACAGCTAGTGCTTGTCGTTGTGCCTGCAACAATCCTTGCACTGCTGTGGCGAATGCAGCTGGTTCTTGTAACATCTGAAATGTGATTCTCGGATTTTAATAACATATTAATAAATTGAAAGGTACAAAAAGAAACATACCAAATTACAATCTAAGTGAAACGCAGTCGGCAAGTGTCCTGCATTGTATTGCTCGGCAGGTCTGCAGTCGACTAAAAAAAATCTAACTGATTCAACAGAGGTGTTAGGTACGGACGGACTTTCAATAGAATTTTCAACTAATTCTTGAGCTGATACAGGCAAGCATAGCGCGTGCGATATATATTTCTCATCAAAACCTTCACCAAACATAATAGGATATAAATCCTGTTTAAAAGAGGCTGGCGTTTTCATCGCGTAATATTGTGCCAAAGAGCAAAAATCTGTTACATCCTCCGCTTCTAGAGCACAAGGCATAGCAGCTATTGCATCTATTATGCTTTGCTTATCGTTGTCTTTCATACTTAAAATTTGCTCCCTGTACAAAACAGTAAAGTAAGTATTATATACATACTTTTCTAATAAGAATGCAGTACGTGTATTTAAGTTTCATATATCCTACCTAGCGTTTATGACCATAATGAGCGAAAGAAATAACATGAAAAATGGATCAGCCTGCATGAAATATAAATCCCACATTGTACAAACAGCTGGTAGTGAACAGACACCAGCGAAAAGAGTAGTTACCCATCCTTTCGTATATTGATCTGGTGAGACTCTTTTCGTGTCTAAGAAAGAACATAATTCTGGTTCGTGATAAAGTAATAATAATCTTAATACAGAACTATAGGTTTCACCTCTGAAAATATAAAAATAGAGTAGTTTCGTTAATTAAGTTTAGGAAACACTTACTTTAATAACAGTAATCTTTTGATGTACTATACCTAGGAATATAAATGTCTATTATAGCCTCAAATAAATTATATGTTGCACTGCGAGGAAGTTTTAAAGCTATTAAAGGGCCTAACAACTCTAGCCATCCATTTCCTCTTTTATATTGTTTCACTTTACTTTTACAATAAAATGTTAAAATAGACTCTAAATCAGAAACAACAGATACTTTATCCTCATCGTCGTTTCCCAACTTTGCTGCAATAAACATATTACAATTGTAGAATCTTCATTAATCAACAATATATTTTACTTGATGTAACAAAAGTAAAACTTTAAGGTGAAGCAAGGTGTTTGATTTTGGTTTGAGAAGTGTATCAATAAGATAAGGTTCAACGTGTTCCATATTGTAAAGATAAGAATATGTACATATATGTGTAAATGCAATTCTGTCGAACTGTAACATTTCAACTTACCAACCAATTGTTCGCAATCGTCTCGAATAATATTTTGTTCAGGTAAATCGAAGACTTCATTAAAGTGACTCAATTGATTGCCACGATCAATAACATCTAAGCAAGCTTGCCACACGTCTGGCCTTAAATTTGTAGGTACTGCCTGTCCCTTACAAATCGCATATATATCAGATGCTGATGGTGCCTCCGTATCAAGCAAAGCTGCTTCTAGTTCCAAAACCCTAAAATATTAAAATCTGGTAAGTATAATGCATTAATTCATTTAGCAAATTCTCTTATTTACATTATGCTCTTTTATATTAAAATCACTTAGCATAAATTACAATAGCCATTCCATTACTTCTTCATAATACAACATTTGCATAAGGTAATTAACTAAACATCTGCAACTATATAAAACAAGCCGAAGAGAATATTAAATAGATTTTATAAAACTGTCAGTTGAATGGTACTTTTTAATCAACAAAAAAAGTATTTAGAAAACTAAACAATACGTGGAATTTGTACATAGTAATATGTAGATTCGATTATTTTTAGTACTTTAATGTTTTCTACTATTCAAGGAAAAGTGACATTAAAAATTTGTTGCACAAAGTCGAATCCAGTACAAACATTTAGACGACTGTTCGTGTCCGTATATTAATTAATGATAATTCAAGAAGAATAGAAACATGGAACAACAGAATTTGAAAAATGTGACGAAACTATTCGAATTAGCTCACCAGGTGTTTTCATCTTCCTGTAGTGCCATTTTGGTAAACGTCACACTCTTATCGAGATGTGTATTAAATAACGAACGTTACATGTAAATTACAATTTCCTACAACGGAACGAATCTTCCAAATTGCTTAGCATTCTTCGAAAGATATCGTCGTTCTTACGACATTTCTCGTGGTTTCCGTTCACTTTGAAGTCCGTTAATCTATAGATATTACCCGAGACAAACCTCTGCTCCTGTTGACAGACCGTTGCCATCTTTTCAAAGAAAGTTTTGTACATGCGCGAAAAGAACCCGCGAATATCGGACGTCCAGATCATATCTGATTAACACTTCCGTAGCAACGGAACTAATAAACGTATTCATACTAAACGAGTAACATTACATAAATGAAATTATTTAACGCTAATCAGTTAAATAATACCAAGATCTTCCGTCCCGTAAGGGCGTTGGTAAAAAAATACTTGATCAAATATACTAGGCGCTCGTTACAAAAATTACACTGACCATAGAAACTATTTTTATTAATAATATAAAAAATAGAATATAATAATCGCTCTTACACGTATGTAAGAGGTGCGTAGGTACGTTTCCCAACTTCTATCGTCTTCCTTGAGAACATTAAGAATGTTCAATAATATAATAATAAAAATACATGCTTAAACGATCATTTATTTACTTTCAATTTATGAATATTCTTCATATCATTTCCTTTTTATATTGACGTCATTATTAGCATAAAACTCGACGAAATCTTGTCAAATCAGAAGTCGAAAGTTCAAATGAATCGATTGCTAAGAAAATAGAGAGGGACAGCGCTGTGTGATTCTTGCCATAGAATCTCGCATTGCAGATAGGAAGTCATGTTCTTGTAACGTTCTTGGGCCGACACGAGTGAATGGATTCAGCGGTACAGATTACTCACAGAACATGCATGACTTGCAACTGCCGATAAATGTGATAAGTATTATCACAGACGAGGTTTGAACGCATATCCTTTGCTACGGCACTACGGTACGTGTGCTTCGTGCGACGGTATAAATGCGAACTAAACTTATTCACATGATCAAAGACTGTCAGAGACGTTCATTTGCAAGTGTATCGTTGTGGCCTTTCCGCATGGTCGTTCGACTTCATGTTAGTTTTCACTGTTTGCAGTTGTGCCGGCTCGATTTTGGGGAAAACGTGAAAGAGAGATAACTCGTAACAGTAACAGGCATTCGAGGATTAACAGAAAAATGACGGGTGCAAGTGGCGCGAGCAGCATAACCTATGGTGCACTACCAAAATGGCAACTTGCCTTAGCCGTTGGAGCGCCGGTCGCTTTGGGCCTTGGTTATATGTATTATAGGAACAGTAACAAGACCACGCCAAAGTCGAACCGAGGTAAATTGAAGAGCAACTCGAAGAAAAATGGCACGCCAGCCGCTGACAAACAAATCTCTATTGACGTTGATTGTCCACCGAAAACTACCCCCGAACCAGAGGTTAGAGATAGTTTTATTATTATACGTTTCAATTATAATGCGTGTAATTCGAATTTGTGGGTACTTTAATAATGAATTTGATAAGTTTTAGAATGTACTGTTTCGTCACTAATATTGTCATACAGTTAAACTGTCGTATAGTTCTAAAATAAGGTCATTGTGTTCTTTGATTGCTTTCGACGCATAGTTTTCCATACATTAAATGCATTTATCATATTGCAGACAGAATTGGAAAAAGCGCAAAGATATAAGTGCGAAGGGAATACTCAGTTTAGAATAGGAAAATACGACGAGGCTATAAAGCAATATACTAAAGCAATCGACACATGTCCACCTGAAAATACAGAGGATCTTGCTACGTTTTATCAGAACAGAGCAGCTGCCTATGAACAACTGGTAATAATTTCTTGCGCAGCAATTGAATTCTTCCGTCCATGTTCATTAGTCCAAAGAAGAACTAACATAATCTTCGATAATATTGTATTAACATAAAAGAAGAGATAAGAAAATAATTTATGTGAAAACAGTTTTTGGAATATAGTTTGTTCTTTACAAGTAAAGCTTCCATAGCAATACTATTTATTGTAATATAATTATAATTATCAGTTGATATGTATTACAGAAAAAATACAGTGCTGTAAAAGTAGATTGTACAAAGGCCTTAGAATTAAAACCAAGGTATACAAAAGCCTTATTACGTAGAGCACGAGCATTAGAATGCTGCAATGATTTTGAATCAGCCTTGGAAGATGTTACAGCTGCTTGTATTTTAGAAAGCTTTTCTAATCAGAGAACATTGGAAATGGCAGACAGGGTTTTGAAGCAATTAGGTATATTTTATTATCAAATTCTTACCATTTGTTAAAATAAACCTATTTGTATGTATATAAATGACAATCCTCTTTTTAGGTAAACAACATGCAATGGAACATTTGGCAAACAAAAAATATATTATGCCTAGTAAACATCTCATTAAAAATTATATTAATAGTTTTTATAAAGATCCTGTTTTCGCATTGCTCAAAAATGCTGACAATAGTAATCTATCGCAGTATGTATTTTAATTATTAAATTATTACTATTATTATTATTATTATTGTTTCTTAATATCATCTGTAATCACTGCGTAATATTTAGAGGTTTCGCAAAGATTTTAAAATCCATGAAGGAGGAAAAATATGATAATATAATACAACTGTGCACTGAAGAACTTGGCGATTCAGAACCAGATGCAGTGCCACATGGAATGGAAATGTTTCTATTAAGAGCAACATTTTACCTTTTGCTAGGACAATATGAAACTGCTATAAAAGATTTTGATACTATTATAAACAGTGATGTTGTTTCAAAGAGTATAAAAGTGAATGCCTTTGTAAAACGAGCTTCTTCGTACATGCATTTAGAGAACCCGGAAAAGAGTTTCCATGACTTTAATATGGCTGTAGAACTTGATCCTGAATGCGGTGATATTTATTCTCATAAAGGACTGGTACAGATAACATTTAACTTACGATAAATCTATTTTCTACAATACATACAAGAAAATATTCAATATTTTTGTTATGAGATTTTATATCATTATTTTGTAACTGCAGGCAAACTTGCTGATTGAAAAAATAGAAAAAGCTAGAGAAGACTTTAAGAAAGCTGTTGATCTCAATCCTGAATTTGAAGTGGCATACGTGCACAAATGTTACGCAGACTATCACTACGGTATAATTACCAGGGACAGGGATATATCAACAGAGGCTATAATAGGTTTTGAGAAGGCTTTTGAAAAATTCCCAAGTTTCCCTGACTGTTACATCTTGTATGCTCAGGTATTAATATATTTCATCTAGTCATAGAATAATCAATATTACATTAGCCATAGCTTTAATACATTATTTATGAATGAAGATACTATCAGAAACGCAAGAGTTTCAAAAAGCAGACAGTTATCTTTCCAAAGCGATCGAGAAATATCCAGATAATGCTGCTACAGCATATGTACATAGAGGTTTATTACAATTGAAATGGGTCGGAGATGTTGATAAAGCTGTGGAATATATCAACCATGCATTGAAATTAGATAATAAATGTGAATTTGGGTATGAAACCCTAGCAACAATTGAAGTTCAAAGGTAGGTTGATTTATTCTAAAATAAACCAGTTGTATTGTCAGATTGTTAATGTTTGTTTTTCAACAGGGGAAATCTAGAAAGAGCAATAGAATTATTCGATGAAGCTTTGGCGCTGACTCGCACGACACCGGAGCTAGTGCATATTTTCGGTCTAAGAAATGCCGTGAAAACTCAGCTCGCATTGAAAGATAAATTAGGCCCGGACATACCACTGATGAATATACCGGCCGTTTCATAATTTTTCATACAATTCTACACTGACCGCACTCGGAACGTCGAATAAGCGAAATACACATGGTTACCAAAACTAAAGAATAAAATCTCGTATGTACGGTATGATTCACAGGTGTAATTTTATGAACGATTTAAAGCAGATTTCATGATAGTATAGAAATTCTTCTCACAATTGCAGAAACATGTGTATTATCTACTATTTAACTGATCTATAACGTTCGCCCCCTTTTTGGAAGAAAAATTTATTGCATGCGTTGCTGACTGATCACTGTTGTTCATCCGCTGTTTCGTTGTAACAGTTCCTTTTATAAATTCCGTCGAATGCATTTTCTGAAGTTCACGTCCGTGAACGTAAGGCTTTTGGAAAAGTACTATGTCAGTTTCTTGTTGTCCGTAAACCTCGCGATTGTGAAATTCCTATGTACAATATTTATTATTTATCTGTATTGTGAACTATTACGTTAAATACATTTAAATGATACAAGGATGCTCACAATTTTTTTGTAATATTTAGGAAAGTATGCATATATACATACATACATATGTACACACACGCGTATTGCCGACGATAAAGGAATCCTTGAAACAACTGCTGCAATTTACTTATAATATATAATAATTTATTGATCATTGTAATTGTGAGTCTGACATTGTATTTTATATTACTTTGTATATAATGCATATAAAACATTTTTAACAGAACCATGTAAAATTTATGTATATACATATATGTGTATATATATATATGTATTTCTTTTATATATACTTTTCGTGTATATGTATATATACATATGTATGTATGATCTTGAAAGTATATGTACATCTAAAAATTCTTGTACAAAAGATATCTCACAAAACAGTGTATCGCTTTGCTATGAAACAATATTGTAATTTTGTAGGACACTGTATATACTTTATTTTTTAACCCATTTGTTTTCATGCCTCCTTATGATGTTAATGGGTTAATATGTGCCTTTTCAAACGTCGTAGAAAATCGAAGCGAGAGGATATCTTATAACAAATGCTAATAAACTGCTAAAAACCTGAAATATCAATGGTTTTTTAACACATTAAAATATTGTTTCTACATTTTCTTGAGGATTTAGCTGTGTCATCGAAATATTAGTAGATTTTACCTGAATCAACAACAGGATGACTGTAAGTGTAGATTCCTTAAGCGGGCCTGCTTTAGTTAATACAAAATTAATTATAGTTAAATTGTTACAAGTGACAACACCATTCTTGTCTTCTTGCCATTTCACTAAATGTAATTTCTTAAATATCCACATTACAAGTTTCCCTGAGGAGTATAAATAAATTAATTTTAAATTGAGATTAATACAAATTTCTCTAATTAATAAAACAACTTGTGTTTCCATACCAATAATACCAATATCATTTTTATTAAATACGGTATTGCTAACATTCAGTTTATCTATCTCTTTGTCATGCCTGTAAACAAATGTAAAAATAAGTATTTTCAACATTAAAGGAAAAACGGTAAATTAAAGAAGAACATACTTTGGTAATCTATGCCTGGGGCATGGTATGAAGTGAAATAATTGTGGTACGCTATAAAGGAAATTGATAACTTGTGGAATGAAAAACAATAAAGTAGTTTTGCTAAAGTGGCCAATAATGCCAACAACGGCAAATGTCATTCCTGACAAGTAACAAAATGTATCACCCACAAATACTTTTGCTGGACACCTTGAACAAAAAAAAGGCAAAATTTAAATTATCAAAGCATGCTTTCATTATTTTGGAAAAAATTCCTTACAACTATGAAGGGGACAAAAATTAAAATTTTGAAGAATATCAATCTATAATTCACTTTCTTCAACATAATGAGATCCTTAAGTAGATTAATTATGCTTCTACTCTTATAGATTAATCTAGATGCGAGTTTATAAATAATAGCAGCTTAGCGAGGAACATATTTGTGGTCGAAAATCAAATATCTACCCTGCATATTTTCTACGGATATTCGGTGAGTCGGTAGATTATGCGATTCCATTGACATTCATATTTTATAGGAATTATAGATGCTCATAATAAATAAGTAGGCGAGGTTTGAGACGCGTGCGCCTTAGAAGATGTCGTGATCGCGCTTGCCGACGGATTCGACGAAAGAGATTGCGTGGGAGAACATTCGGGCGTGGTTTTTCAACGCGTTGCGCTGCTGTTGGGAGGAGGCGGCCCGACGAGGTAGATTTCGGTAGAACGGCGGGACCTCTTGAAACGAAAGACTCGCCGCTCGGACTTCAAAGTATGTGGCATTATGAGAAAACTACTCCCGCAATTAGAAGAACATCGAAGGTTGGCTAGAAGACGCCGTTCTGTTCACCGAAGAAATTGTAAACGTGCGAACGAGGCCATTTAAGAATTAAATGGCACGTCGGAGAGCAGTGACGTCACGGTTTAAACGTCACGACTCAAAGGTATTCATATTGTCGTTAACCTCAGACTATATTATGAGTTCGTACATAAATTATATGAAGCTTGTACCAGCACCACCGCTGAACACTGAAATTAATACTGAAATTAATAATTATAAGAACAGACTTTCAACGTATACGAACCTATCTAGCTTTCACATGTTAATCATGATTCTACAGAAGTAATTGAAATTTATATTAACTAACACTGTTCGCCTTCAGTCACCGGTGAAAAGTTTTTATAGAATATATTATGAAATAATGGGAACATTTTTTTTCTAGACTTGTACGTCAACTACACACATGCTTTTGGCTAGACTTCTCTTGTAACAGAAATATTCTGTTCAAAATAAAAATTCATGGTACATAAAATGCAGAACTGACAAACTAAAAGAAAGAAGGTAGTGAGATGCAGCCCCGCCTAGATGGGAAACTGGCCTTGCTTTATACATTGTTAGTATTGCAAGTTCTTATTGTTATGATTTATGTTGCTACTACTCCACCTTCTGAACTAACTATATCGACAACTCATACTTCTGTTACATTTGTGAAATTTGAAGATGCACAGGTAAGATTTGATTGCTTATAGATTGATCTGTAGATATGAGAAGAAATTTATTTGTTTCGCAAAACAAAATGTATATATAATCTTCAAATTTTCATTTGTATTTTGTGTTAATATAGGAACCTCAAGTGCAACAGACCACTCGTAAAAAGTTTCCCATCTACCAGACAATCAATGGGGAGGTAGTGCTGAAAGATGTTAAAACTTTCACTCTGTTTGATGTATACAATCATACCATTTGTTGGAAATATGGAGTGGATAATCAGAAGATGAAAAATAGCAAAGACTTTAAGAAATGTATTTGTACTCAAGGATGGCATGGCTCAGACTGTGGTCAACCGGAAGTTGTCTGGAGGGCAATTATGGCATCTAAGCAGAATGTTCAGCTGAAACATCGTAAAACGGCTAGACGTATCATTCATACATTTTTTTTAAACGAATACAATTCAGCAATTGCAGAGGTGATAGTAGAAGAGTTATACAATGTAGTGGATCTTTTTGTAATCTGTGATTTCAGTAATGCAGAAGATAATTTTCATCATAAGCTACTTAAAGGTTTATTACAACAGGAACAGAAGAAAATTTTATATATTAATATAGCTACAAAGGTGCATAAACCATTGAGGGTAGTATCCAAATACATTTGGGAGAAAATAAAGACTGTAGTAAGAAATTTAAGAGACGACGATATTTATGTAACGACTGAATCAGAACAAGTACTGAATTCTAGGGCATTAATGTTCCTCAAGGTGTATAATGGTTGGCCACAACCTATTGGTTTTAGATTAAGATGGTCTGTTTACGGATTCTTCTGGCAACATCCACTTAAGACAACGATAACGGTCGGCGCGTGTACAATTGGATTAATGCGTGAAGTTTATCAATCCAATCCCATCATGTTGGAACAATTGGAGGGAGATTTGAGTGAAAGAGATAGTCTAGGCCTAGTAATAGGAGACTTGAATCATTATGGAGGCTGGTACTGCTATCTGTGTCAGGCACCAGCGAATATAATAAATAGCCTACATAATAAAGTTAAATCCAATGAAATTCAAATAGGGAAAACTATTGATGTACCATTCATCGAGGACCTAATAGGAAGTGGATTATGGTTAGATGGCAAAACTAATCTCCTAAGAGTCTCTAAATCTCGGGACCTCTATTTTGCGCCTGAAACAATACTTAATAATACATGGAAATACGACTGGCTAGTAGAGAATTTTTATGCTAAATTAGACTATTATTGACATATTGGTCACACCTGACTGTGATATTAACTCATACTCAATACTCAATGTAAACTATATGATATTGTATTGAATTTATATACTAAAATAATATGTTGATTATGAATTATAAATATTAAATGATTTATACGCATAAGTTATACATAAATTAAAGATCTTGAGTTATTCTTATTTAGTAAATCCTCCTTATTTTAAAAGTATTCACACTTAAGCTGAAGAATATGCTGATTTCTACATATGTTCCACCAATTGTGCTAACAATATAATCTTTGTAGGTAGTTGAGCTTTTCAGCAGTGAAATTATTTCTTCCAAATAGACAATTATTAAGTGAAAAAATATAAATTCTACATTTTTAATTTCATAGTCTTAAATGTTCATAGCACAAATATATTAATTTATTTTGTATACAACTTACCAATTAAACTTTAGCAAACCCAAGGATGTGGCTGTGTATGGAACCATAAAATATAATGAAAACAGGTGTGTTTTCCAAAGATCTCCCGATAACTCTATGATATTAAAAATGAGTATGCTTGTCGAAATCACCAAGCTTTGCCCAACTTCTAAACCATTTATTCCAGCTAATATATTTATAGCATTTGTACAGAACACTGCTAGCATTCCCATGTACAAATAATAAAATACCCATAGATCCATTGAGAAACCGAACCATGGTCTTAAAGGTTTGGGCACAATGATTATTGTAGAGTTAAAATTAATGTAATAAACCATTAAAAGTGGCAGTGAAGCAATGGTTGGCAGCAATAATTTGTGACGCCAACGAAGATCCAAAACATCATCGGCAAAGCCCAGAAGCAACATACAACAAATTGAAAGTAGGGCAGCCAAAAATTCCATGAACTGTAATCGAAATTTGTGCACAAAAATGCTCGTAAACTGTCTATTAAACTATAATATTAAGCTGTATATCTAAAATTATTCTTTCCATACCTCGTTATGAGGAAAATTAATATCACTGAACATATAATCTGTAAATGGTACAGGAATAAATAGAAAGAGCGTTACAAGAAAGATACAACCACTAACAACACCCAATGCCTCCGGCCTGTAAAAGAATTTTCAATGTACAAATTACCTGCACACTGTCCAGTGAAGAGAAGCAAGACACACGTGAATATCGTGTGATATCAGGTTCTAACTTACACTTTCTCACCGCTACTTTTATTCATGTCGATTCCGTATAGGTTAGCTTTAATAAACATATCTTTTATTCGCGGTATTAAACGTACGGTTAAAAAATACGCAACACACGACATCACTAAATTTATGAATAATGGAAAAAGAGATTTCCAAATGTCGTCGTTATGCTTCATGTCAGATAATTTTGAAAAAACCGGTTTGAAAAGCAGAAAAAAACATGTATTTACAAAGCAACCTATCAACGTGGCCGTCAACAGAGATTATAATTCGCGTGTTCTTCTTCCAATTAGATAATGCCATCGTGATAACACATATTGAATCTGACACAACTGAAAATCATCACCTAAAAAAATGCATACTTTTTGAATATCTAACCACATCACACGCACTGGACAGTTACAGTTGCAACATAGGAGTGAGTGTTCTTAAAAATTATCTGTGACAGAAACATAAACACGAATCAGCTCCAAAATCATTTTGCTATTTCATCTGTAAAATTTTAGTAAAATAGAACAAAATCTTAAGAAGATTATTTTATTTTGTGTTCAATACAATAAACTCGATTGACTCAGAGTGCACGTAATAACCGTTTGAATTGCATCAAATACGAAAGGTGGTAAAATGGTATAGAAATTTAATTTGAATTTTACCGTTGTTTTCCGATGAATTTCCGTGAAACAATCTATATATTCGTTGAAAAAACTAACGTGCATTTTTCTTAAAATACGAATGAGGTAATATAGCGTTGTCATTGCGAAACAATTAATCTTTGTATATTCTTTTTTGCTTTGCATTTTTTCGTTTTGGTGACTGTATTCTCAAAGTTGCTTACGTTGTTGACACTAGACTTACGGAACCCGTCAGTTTGACAGATATTGAGTTTTTTTAAACATTATTTAGTAACAGTTTAAGTCGATTTTCATTCGTGTGATTATGCGAATACGCATCGCGTTACTCTGGTTTTCGATCTACAATTTTCACGATTTATACAGACGAACACGTAGTTTCCTAGGAACAATAGAATAAAGTGTAGAATAAACGTCCGTAAATCTAGTGTTAACTGTGCTTTTTCATTTGAACCGAAAGGTGAGAAGAACTTTTCTCCTAATTGTATAACCTAAAATTTTAAATTTAAAACTGCTGTTGTTTATAATTGAACACAGTTCAGTGTACGCGATTTAATCATGAAAAATTTGTATTATTAATTATTTATATGTATTAAATAAATTTTATTGAATTTTGTGTTTTTCAGTGCTAACAGGTTATAGCCAAGTCTCCATTTGTACTCCTGTCAATTAATTAATTCGAATTGATGGATAGTGAAAAACAAAAGGACGAGATTATTGCACTGGAAAGTATTTACAATACGGAAGAGTTTTCTTATTATGAAGAAAATGATCATTACCAATGCACTTTTAAGATATTTATAAGTCTTCCAATGGAGTATTGTGTTACTTACAAAGATTGCAGACACACGGAAGAACCTTTGCAAAAGATTCAAATATCTCATTTACCACCTTTGACATTATACATCATTTTACCAGAGGATTATCCTTCAGCATCGCCACCAAAATTTACTTTATGCTCGTCTTGGTTACGTCTCCCGTTGTTAGGTAAATTATGTAAAAAATTAGATCAGCTCTGGGAAGAAAATAAAGGGCAAGAGATTTTGTTTACATGGGTAGGCTTTTTACATGATGAAACTTTAGAGTTTCTGAACATACAAGAGAGTATTAATATAAGCAGCGTTTATACACGTTACCAAGAAGCTTTAGAAAAAGCGCAAGGTGTTGTAAAAAATAAGGTAGCAGACAATGTAGACAAAGAATCCATCGTTGAAGATGTAAAAAACAAAGCAAAGGCAAATGTCAATACTCAGTATGCGAGTAAAAAGAATTTTATACACGAGTACTACGATAAGAGAGCCATTTTAGATGGTCCAGTTGGGAGGAATCCTATTCAAGTATTAATTGATTATAATGAGAAACGCAATCGGATTGAATTCAAAAAGAATTTCAACACTTGTAAGATATGTTTTGTGGATAAGTTGGGAGAACATTGTACACAATTTTTGCCGTGTACTCATGTGTTCTGTAAAGATTGCATAACCGGTTATCTAGAGGTCAGAATTAAAGATGGAAATGTCCAAAATATTTATTGCCCCGAAGAAAAGTGTTCCTCTGAAGCAACTCCTGCTCAGGTAATATTTCTTTTCATTTTTTCCAAACGAAATTTGTTTGTTACTAGCTGTATTCGAAGATTTATTGAAATTTGTAGATAAAAGAACTAGTAAGTTCAGAATTATTCGCAAAGTATGATTCTATCCTTCTAAGCGCAACATTAGACACTATGAAGGATATAATATACTGCCCAAGGCGTAATTGTCAGTATCCAGTTAGCTGTGAACCAAATGAACCAATGGCAAATTGCCCAGTATGTCAATATGCATTTTGCATTTATTGTAAAATGGGATATCATGGTATAGAACCGTGTAGGATTTATTCAGGTGGGTTTCTACAAATTCTAGGAAGCTTGAAATTTAATGCTTTAATCATTAAGATGTAATGACTTGTCCTATGTGCACTGTATGTGATATATGTTACAACAGATAAAATGCAGCAGTTAGTAACTGAATATCAAACAGCGTCTACCGAAAGGAGACTTGAAATAGAACTACGCTACGGTAAAAAACAACTGCAAACATTAGTAGAAAATTCTATGTCTGAGAATTGGATTAAGACCAACAGTCAAAAGTGCCCTAAATGTCATGTTGCTATTGAGGTATAACAGTTTTTATACATCCATAGAATTAGACTACATTATTTACAATGAATTGATTTTAATTATATTTGTAGAAGTTACATGGCTGCAATAAGATGGTATGCTGGCGTTGTAATACATTCTTCTGTTGGTTGTGTTCCGCTATACTCAATCGCTTAGCACCATACGAACACTTTCAAAATTCAAAGTCCGCGTGCTTTAATATGTTATACCATGGAATTATAGACGACGAGGAATGGGATGATGAATGGATGATTTTAATATAACGTTAAAGCAAATAAAACAGATATTTACTCGAAAAATTAATAACTGTTACCAGCTCTCCCATGAATATATTGTATTTTATTTGAGTTTTCATGATTCAAAAATTTTAGTCAAACAAAAATCTTCTTTTCTATGAAATTCGTATTTGTTACTAATTATATTTATATGTAATAGCGGGCTTCAACTGAAATACGTATATTTATGTTAAACCTATTGTGTAAATACCAAATAAATTACGAAACATTATTTTATGATCCACTTTCTCAGAATGTGAACTTTTGTATACATCTTCTGTAATATAATAATTGATAACAACCGATATTTTAACCGATAATTTGTTAGCACCGATTAAGATCTAAATAAAGGATTGGTATTCGTATTTAAAGACAGTATTTGCTGATGGTAATCACATTTCTTTATTGCCAAAAAAAAAATGAAAATGGTATCAAAATGCCATCATTTAGTATTCTTCCGCACCTTCTCCTTCGCCTTCTGCAGAGTCCATTCCGACTTCCTCGTAGTCTTTCTCAAGAGCTGCAAGATCTTCACGGGCTTCGGAGAATTCACCTTCCTCCATACCTTCTCCAACGTACCAGTGAACGAAGGCTCGCTTGGCGTACATCAGGTCGAATTTGTGGTCAAGACGGGCCCAAGCTTCAGCGATGGCGGTGGTGTTGGACAACATACAGACGGCTCGTTGCACCTTAGCAAGATCACCACCGGGTACCACAGTTGGAGGCTGGTAGTTAATGCCAACTTTGAATCCAGTGGGACACCAATCAACAAACTGAATGGTACGCTTAGTTTTGATGGTGGCAATCGCCGCGTTCACGTCTTTTGGTACAACATCGCCTCTGTACAACATACAACAGGCCATGTATTTACCGTGACGCGGGTCACATTTCACCATCTGGTTCGCTGGCTCGAAACATGCGTTCGTAATCTCTGATACAGAGAGTTGTTCGTGATACGCCTTCTCCGCGGAGATGACCGGTGCATAGGTGACCAACGGGAAATGAATCCTAGGGTAGGGTACCAAGTTCGTTTGGAATTCAGTCAAGTCAACGTTCAGGGCACCATCAAATCGCAGAGAAGCGGTTATAGAAGATACAATTTGGCCGATCAGTCTATTCAGGTTTGTATAAGTAGGTCTCTCGATGTCCAAGTTACGACGGCAGATATCGTAAATGGCTTCATTGTCGACCATAAACGCACAGTCGGAATGTTCAAGAGTGGTATGCGTTGTAAGAATTGAATTGTACGGCTCGACGACAGCTGTGGAGACTTGCGGAGCAGGGTAAATGGCAAATTCCAGTTTCGACTTCTTGCCGTAATCGACAGAGAGACGTTCCATCAAGAGAGAGGTGAACCCAGAACCGGTACCACCGCCGAAAGAGTGGAAAATGAGGAAACCTTGAAGACCAGTGCACTGATCCGCCAGTTTACGAATACGGTCCAACACCAGATCAACGATTTCCTTGCCGATCGTGTAGTGACCACGAGCATAATTGTTTGCGGCATCTTCTTTGCCAGTAATTAATTGTTCTGGGTGGAACAACTGACGGTACGTACCAGTACGTACTTCATCTGATAAATTAAAAATATTTTGTTCATAACCGATTTGAAATAAAAATTACAGAAATCCTTAGACTAAAATTTACAGTGACTGCTATCAAAAATAAAAGTAACTATATAATTTAAAAAATTAAATTTAGTTCTTAAAGATGCTCACCGACTACTGTAGGTTCCAAGTCAATGAAAACTGCTCTGGGTACATGTTTCCCTGCACCAGTCTCGCTGAAGAAAGTGTTGAAACTGTCATCGCCTCCTCCAATAGTTTTATCGGATGGCATTTGGCCATCAGGCTGAATGCCATGTTCCAGACAATACAATTCCCAACAGGCATTACCAATTTGGACACCAGCTTGTCCAACATGAACTGAGATACACTCGCGCTAAAAATTTACAAAAAATATCATATAACATTACATATTTACCAAGCATCTCAATTTATTAATTAGTCGATAGAAGTTCAATGAACTCTTGAAGATCGTACAAGTTTAAAATAAATAGGACATACCCTGATAAATAATTTATTCAAAAAAAGCCAATTTCTCAATCACATTAAATTCGAGTATTAAAAATATTACCGAAGTAACAGAAATAATGAATTCTATTTCGAGACTTATCGTGAAACGCCAGCGCGAAGCTTAATGCCGGCCGGTGTTTGACCGTTACAAAATGGCTGCCCACCCATGGCAACAGGACAACGCCTTCGCAGGATTACTTGAAATAACGGTAAAGAGGCAAAGACTCACCATTTTGTGATAAGAGAAGATTCAAGGTTCTGCGAGAGAGAAGAAACGGACGTGAGACGTCGATTGTCGGCTAAAGCAAGTAATGGGGCTTTCGCTAACACCTCCGTCCAGAATCCTGAAACGAATGCCTGGCCGGCCGCTGGAACGGTTATTTATACCCTCGGTGGACAGCTTCGTCAGCGCGCTCTGATTGGACGTCGATGACCTCATTCCCTCGCGCGATTGGTGTTTCCTCGACCGCAGTACCCACGAACGCCTGAACACACGGACCTTATACGGAAAATATAGTCCCTCTAAATAACGATATAATCAATCGTTTCATTGACATTAACGGCAACATATTCATTCATCATTCCGCGAGCAATTAACGATAAAATGAATGAACGTTTATTAATAATAACAGGGTGGAACATGGGAGAAATTCATGATTTTCGTGGGTGAAAACGCTACACCATGGGCGATGGTTTCTTCCATATTTGGATTGTGCATTTTGATTGGTGACTCATGTAACTCGCGTCTCTGTAACGGATGATGCATTACACATTTAGTGGAAATCATTTCAATTTTGTCGAGCTTCTTTACAGATCGACACCGGGATTGAAGGATTCAGTTCTCCTTTGTTACGTTCTTCATTTTGGCTAACGGTTTCATACTAAATTCTCCTGCGTTCATCCTATACGTGTGTATTTATGCATCTGCCCATGTACTTCTATATATAGGTATCATAGATATTTAAATATTCCGTTAAAATAGCACAGTCCGTGCACATGGAGTTGGAATGGTGACCATCGAGAAATGGCAATTTCGAAATATATTCTTGGATTTCTACGTACATATATACATTTATTTTATAGTTAATCTATTAATATTTTCATTTTTAACGAACACACATTTATCTTGATTTATAATTCTAAATAATTATTGTATTCTGTAGGTTTTATTTAAAGTTAATTCATTGCAATATTGTGATATAATATATTATCGTTTATTGTTAATTATTTAATATTATCGTCTCATGTATTTGTACAGAAAACTGAATAACTATCGGTTGAACGTACTTTATGGGGTTTGCAATATTTGGCGTATATACTCATCTTACCTAAGGGTATTGATTTTGTCTCTATACCGGGTGTTCCCTGAATGCGTCTCTACAACAAAAGCTTGATAGTCTGAAATTCTTTTATACAGACGTTAACAATTTCAATTGAATCATTCATTTCAGTCGAATAATTAATATTATTAATCAGATGTTATAGTAATGAATTTGACAGCAATAATTTAGCTATATTATGAAGAGTGCAGAGGTATTACGAGGGCGATGAGAAATCAAATTTACATGAAGAACATTATCGGAACAGACGCATTATATTTGCCAGATTCATTATACAATGAGCTGAAGCTGATCTACTTCCTGCCCATGAGCACAAACCGTATCCGCTCTCTACTCTTGATTCTGCGATCTTACCTTACTGCGGTTTCTGACCTCTTTAATCTTCCATCTCTTCCATCCTCACGCAGATTTTAAATCGCAAACTGACGTAATAAATATTAAACTATTTTTCAAGGAAAACAAGCGAAAGGACCTTGCAAACCGAAAATGGAAATTATCGATTCGCGAGAAGTTAGAAAATAATTCATTGTCTACGACCTGGATAATTGATACAGTAATTGTGTATTTAATTTGTGTTCATTCGCTGGCTATGTTATCATTCATTTGATATCTGTATAGGATGACAGATTTTTTCTTGAGCTCGACTCAAAGCGAGGGACGAGTTTCCATCTTGCCATAGTTGAAGACGACAGCTGGTCGACTGACAACGCCATTCTGTACACACCCATCTGCGGGACACGCATTTTACACATTACCGGTCAACCGAAGAAGTCTTTCCTTTTGTGTACGCAGATTGCGAAACTGTATCGTAAAATGTGAATGTAGCGTAAAATTAGTACGTTTAAACAGTTGATTTACGAGAAAGACACGTACGTTCTACGGAAATTGAAATTGTTTCAAAATAGTTAAACCTACTGTTTCGTGTGAAGCCATAACGTTCCTCTAAAAAATGGTAATTACAAGAAACTCGTATGACCATAAAAGTACATTTTTATCAGGGATCATTTGTGATATAAATATTGGAATGACCTAATGATTCAGTAACTATCTTCAATCTAGATGTAACTGTTAAGATTATATTTTAAGATAATTATTTAAGAAATGTTTTTGTCGTAAACATCAATTAATCTGTACACATGTACGTCTGTCTTCATTGATACTAATTAACATTTGGTTTTTGTATGTGTAACGTTAAAGGTGGAAGATATAGCGGATAATGGTATTAGAAACGTTTCATTACTAATTTACTACGGTGTGACTGTATTAAGTTGTTACTTATTCAATGGTATATTAATTATCCTTTTCCCTTTTCTGTAATTACCTATGTCATACCGAATCAATTTTATTGCGTCGCAGCGTCATCTATGGCAGAATTCTCAAGTGTTTAGTCAACTAACCATGTTCCAGTCAGTAGATCACGCAGCAGTTTCATCAAATTTAAAAATACGATTTTTAGTAGTCTGTTGTTCAGTAATAGCATTGCATATTGCGGAATTTATTGTCCTACAATTGTATCTCTCGTCGAATCTTCAAATACAATTTCAAAATAAAATTTCAATTTATCCTACTTTCATTTCCTTTGTCAGATGGCGGTAACCTTCAATTCTTCATGCTAAACCAGCATACGACAGACCTAAAAATGGTAACGATTATTAATACTCCCAAGAACATGTGACTAAAGTTTACATTCCATGTTATATCTATTCTATACCAAAATCAAAACTATTCTACACCAAACCAAAAACAAATATCATTAATAAAACTCAAGAAACGACATTACCATCACAGACATTACCATCGACAGACGTCTACCACATGGTTCCTGGCTGAATCGTGAAGAGCTCTGGAAATTTATTATCCCACAATTTCAAACCAAATTTTCAATCTATTCTCCTTTCATTTCTCTTGTCAGATGGCGGTAACCTCCAATTTCCCATGCAGAACCAGCCTTAGTCGACATGACAGGGACCTAAAAATGATAATTTTTAAAACTACTTCCAAGAACACATGACAAAAGTTTCCATTCCACGCTATATCCATTGTACACATCTGTATTATTACAAAAAACAAAAATAATTAAAATTCAAAAATTGACTTCCAAGAATACTCAACAAAAATTTCCATTCCATGTTATATCCATTTTACACATCTGTATTATTACAAAAAAACAAAAATAATTAAAATTCAAAAATCGACATTACCATCGCAGTCGACATTACCACCTGTCTACCGCATAGTCCATGGCCGAGTCGTGAAGAGTTCGCGAGCAGACGCGCGCGGTAGGTACTACCCTCTGCAGTCAGGTAGGTAAACGGGGGTTGTGCGGTGGGTTCCGCGGAAGGTCGGGTGATCAGCTGTGCGCGCTCGAAGCTGGGCATTCCCGTGTGCGCGGTGTCGGACGTTCGCAGAAGTTTCTCTTGTAGACCGACCGTGAAACGGCACGGTTACCACGCAGCGAGTAACGAACGGAACCGTGAACGCACGCGAAAGTACGCGGTGGCGGTGATAAATCGGTAGTATTTTCGGGTGAAGAGGGGGGGGAGGGCAAGTGAGGCATGACGGGAACAGGTGACAATAGAGCTTCGCCATGTTAGATTTCACGAGATCGCGAAACGTGCGCCGCCGCTGCTGCTGCTGCTGCTGCTGGTGCTAGTGG